GGTGGGTGGGGAATGAGGGCGGAGGGGGGGGCGGGAACTGGGAGGAGGGGAGTTATGGGGGGGGAAAAAAAGAGGAACAAATGTAATCTGAACAATAAAGATTTAATAAAAAAAGAAAAAAGAATTCAATAAAATCTCATAGAGTTCTGAAAACAGAAATGGTAAAATGGCTGACAAATTTTTTTTTAAAGCAATAATACTGCTAAATATACTTTCTTCACTCTCACAGCACATTAGCTGTAAATTTACTTCTGAGACAGTGGCCTTCATAGAAAGATTAATTAGCAAAACTAGCTGGATTAATTTTAATAAGCTTGCAGACAACTGCAAAGGGGATGTATTTTTCTGGAAAGCTTATATCAAGATAAATGGTATGATTCAGAATAAAACCAAAATGGAACACACATTTAACAATTTCCTTGTGTTCCATATTCATAAGGCCAAAGTGAATGATAAGATTTGTTGATTTAAAAAAATACATATCTTAGCCAAAACTGGTTTGGCTCAGTGGATAGAGCGTCGGCCTGCGGACTGAAGGGTCCCAGGTTCAATTCCGGTCAAGGGCATGTACTTGGGTTGTGGGCACATCCCCAGTAGGAGATGTGCAGGAGGCAGCTGATCGATGTTTCTAACTCTCTATCTCTCTCCCTTCCTCTCTGTAAAAAATCAATAAAATATATTTTTAAAAAAATGTATATCTTGTCTTAACATATGTAACCAGTGTGTGGGTTTCATCATGAGCAAAGGTGCAAATGTCTTTAGTAGCCAGCCCCTTGGAGAAAGTGGATTTTATGTTTATTGTCACATTAAAGAAGAAAAGATAAAGAACATAAAGATTAAGCTGATGGAAAGAATTCTAAAATGAGAGAGCAGAAAAACATAAGAAAGTTATCCTATTCTATTGGGATAGAATATCATAACTGAATGTTAGCTGTCTACTTCATCAAATTTTGGAACTGTTCTTGATACCTACTTTTTGCAAGAATCAAAGAATGCAGCTTCCTTTAAAAGAAACCAAAATTTAATCATAGTCTAAAAGGTCTTGATTAGCTTTCAAAAATGTAAAAAAATTATAGTCTCTCTTATTTAAAAAAAAAAAAAGGTTAAATATTAAATTAGGAAATGAGGAAACCGAAAAGTAGAAGAGCAGAGGGAAGAAGTGTCTGACTCAATCTCTCTACTGACCCATCGAAAGAAATCAGACTGAAGAGAAGAGAGCACCTTTAATACCTTCACCGGCTGAGGTGTCACAGCTGAAGCAGGACTAGTCAGTTTTTATCGACTTGAGGGTATGAGAAAATACCCAGTTGTGCTGAGGGAATAAGCAAGAGGAAACAGATCATATTTCAATAGCAAACGCTATTTAACTAATATATATACATAAGTACTTCTCGAACCCTTTCGTGCAATAGGTGCAGATGGATCTAACATCATTCCTGTGTGTGAATGTACAAAAAAAAATTAAGGCCAAAATGCTGAATTACGTACCAGGTAAAGAATGAATGAAGGCCCAGACATCATCAACCGTCCATATGGAGGGCTCTGTTTGTGCAACTGGTAGCAAGTCACTGTTCTCAGGCATTTTCCTAATTCTCACTTCTCGCAGCTCACGCTCTCTTTCCCGCTCGCTCTGCCTGCGCAGACGTGTTGTCATAGCAGATGGCACAGGATCTTCATGAGAAGCCAAGTCTTCTTCTGCAGATGGATAAGTAATTGGAAGCTGGAAAATGTAGTACAAGTAAAATACAGCATTGCACTTTCCTTGCATTACTGAAAAGGGTATTGTACATTGAAGCAAGGTTTCTACAGACCTGCCTAAGGATATGTTCTCTTGCTGCCCCATCAGGGCCACTTGGACGACGGCCACGATGCCCAAGACTTTGATTATCAGGCTTACGATTCCAACGACTAAGTGCAAATTTTTTAGAACAGCTAACATTGTACCTAAGAAATTCAAGTAAGAAAAAATATTAAATGATATATAGGACACTCTATTTAGTAGTTAATTATGACTTTAAAGTGAATTTGTGAATTAGTAAGTGGCATATACTTCATTAAGAACTATAATACCTCAGAAAGTAAACCATAGTTTTCAATGGATTTACTTATGCTAACAGTCAAAAATTGACCTCTGTATATATCTGTATAATACATAGCTCTCAATCTAATACTGGACAGGTATTGATATTTCCTCCTAATAACAGCATGATAGAGGGAAACTTTCTGTAAAACAGAGAGGGCAACTGATTTTTACAGCAGCAAAATAATTCAAGGTTCCAGGAGAAAAAGAAGTTAACTATTTAAATGTTCATCCAAACTGGTATTTTTCCAAGTAATAATATCTGAAAAGTGATTAATAAAAATTGCTTAATACAGTAGAGAAAGATAAAATCTCAAATGGCTAGTAAAAGATTTTTAAAATATATTACTGAATCAAAGAGTAAAAATGTAAAGGTGGGATTTCAAAATTATACAAGGAATTCATAGCTCTCACTCTTCGGGAAATTTTAAAATACAGAATTCTTTGAAATTGATAGACTATCTAATATTTTTGAATAGACCTTTATATGGCATAATAACAGCTTAAAATAGTTTTATGCCATTTATTGGGTTCCAAGGCCCTAGAACAGGGGACTGGGTACTTTTTCTATAAAGGGCCAGATAGTAAATGTCTTAGGCTTTGTGGGCCATTCAAGTCTCTGTTACAACTAGTCAACTCTGCAATTATGACATACACAATAATAAATGAGCATGGCTGTGTTCCAATAAACCTTTATTTAGAAACACTAAAATTTGAATTTCCCATAATTTTCATGTGTCACAAAATATGATTCTTTTGATTTTTTTTCCAACTATCCCAAAATTTAAAAACCATCCTTAGCTCATGGATCATATAAATATAGGCTACAGGAATGACTCTGTCTGGGCACAGTTTGCCTACCCTATTCCTAGAAAGAAGAGTGAAAAGAAATAATCTAAGAAACAATTTCAGAAAAACTCAGAAAGGTTAAGAAAAATACATGCAGTTCCTCTTATTTTACACATATACAACTGTCATTGTAATTTCATGTTTTCAAAACTCTTTTGCTCTAAGATTGTACAGAAAAATGACAAGAATAAATCCCAATTAACTTTGCTATTGATAACTGTTCTACGATCAATATACAGATGCCGAAATAAATTTTTCTCACGTATGTTTTCTCAAAATATCAGGAAGTGAAAGTAAGGAGCACTATGAGAATGAACAGGCTTTTTCCCCCATAAAAATATAAAAAACAAAAAGGTGTCCTAATGGCCACCTCATTTTACCCTAAACAATTTAACAAGCTCCTGCTATGTTCATTATGCACTTCCATGGGCTCAGCTCTGTCGGTTTCTGATTTCCATTCTTATCAATTGACAAAACTTCTTTCCCCACTGACTAAAGATCAGAAAAGACAGACTAACTTTACACTTGCTATTTAGTCCCTAAATATTTAGATCTCCAAGACAGCCGTAAATAGCAGCAATTCCTCCCTGACCTAATTTATCCTCTCCCCTTTGCTCTCTCATCAGCATTTCCCTATGTTAGGACCCCTAATCTTCTAAGGGGTTCACCTAAAGGTATAATAATGTGATAACTCAGCAATAATCTCTTGGAGAAGAATAATGGTAGCATTAAAAGACTTGAAATGTTTCTTAAAAGTCAAGAAATTTAAAATATTCTGAAAAACAGTAGTCCTTCCCCTCAGGGTTTTCAAACATTTAGAAACATAGAGCCACTATTCTTTCCTGTGGTATACACAAACTGGAAAACTCCCATGTTATTGTTTGCGGGTATTTTTTATCCCGCGCTCTACTACACTGGTAGAACGTATAAATACGTAAAACGTATAAATACGTTTCCCGCATACAATGTGTTAAACAGGAGTTACATAATTTTCTTAGGATTATCAATAACATAAAAGGATATCTGAGTAACAGACTGACAACTAAGAAACCAATGAAGCCATTTTGGGAGGAAAATACTTCAATTACTTATTCAATAGTACAAATCTTATCCTAAGTTTTACTAAGTATATTTTAGTGGCACCACACTAAATAATATGTTCAAGCAAGAAATTCCCTAGATGTATAAAATTAAGATCCTAAACTCTCTTTCAAATAACAAATTTCAAATTAATCAACCTGTACATACATTTCACCTTTCATGGTAAATACCAACATAAAGATTTATTACGTTGACTGTAAACAAAAAGTCAGTCAGATATTTCTCCAGCAGAGTGGGTTTATTCAAGAACAAGGAATTGCAACCCAGTATGAGTATATGCAACCGTGGTAAAATACGAAGAGTCAGACACTTCCCTTCTGCTCTTCTATTTTTCTATTCTATTTCCTCAATGAAGGAGAGGAAATTCTAATATATAGGGGAAAAGTAAGTTAGAAAGAGTATTACAAAGTTTCTCTGTTGTGCCTTGTGATTATCATTGGTCATGAGAGCTCCCCCTTCTGGCCTCTCCACTTTAAATGAGATTCCTGTTAATGAATTTTTAGCACTATCAGAATCAGAGGTGGTGTTTTTTTTTTTTAATGTAAACTAAACTTGAGACTAAGATCAATGAAGATACTAAACATTTATTTTGTTATCAATACTATTTACCTGTAATATTACTATTACAAATACATATTTAGAAAAGAGATATTTTACTGACAATATAACAATGTAGAGAACATGGATAACTGTCCTATTTAGAAACCTAAAATTAATAGGATACATTAAAACAAAAGAAAACATTTTGAAACAAAGTAAATCCAGGTATTTTAATATTGATAAACAAAAATCAGGTGATAAAACAAAAACTGTTTTGATACCTTGAAGACTAGTAACTCTATTCACAGGAGAGATTCTCCTAAGCATATATTCTTACCACCAGGAGATTGCTACTTAAATATTAGATTATGCTGAAAAACTAACTGTAAGTATTACGACTATATAACTTTCAAAGCGTAAAATTTAATAACTAACTACACCAAAGTAGCTCCACATAATATCTATTTCATACTATTCCTCTATATTGTAATATCTAGTTTTGACTACTGGTAAACTCTACAAGTTTTTTGGTTTTGTTACAGTGGTTGTTTTGTGCTTTAGGAAATTCAAAATAGAAATACCTTTTGGCACATGACATAGTGCAGAATCGTTTTGACCGCAGAAATTCATTAGCATAGCCCATCTTACCACAGAATTCACACTTGAGCAACTCGCTGTCCATTTCTTCTAATGTCTCTAAAAAAGAAGGAAACAAAGAAAAAACCTCACAAAAATTTAATTGTGGCAAATTTTCATTTAGCCTCTATTTTGGTGGGATGCTGCTAGTTCAGACCTTCCAGGAAACTTAAAGGAATGAGTTTCGAATTTTTCTTTTCTTTCTTTCTTTTTTTTTGATTTTTAAATTTTTCAATCCACAGCCACTTTGGCAGGGCAAAGCCTCCAAAACCAACAACCTCCATAAATTCCCTCCTTATCCTGCATAAAAATTTTGTGGCGTTTTCTCTATACATAGGCAATACATTTTAAAGGTTCATTTTGCTAAGTATGCAACACGTCTAAAATGTGCAAATAACTTTATTAAGCACTGTAAGAGAAATGAAGATGAATAAGACAAAGCCACTACTCTGTAGGAGGAACACTTTCAAAAAGTACCTTGTGGGATATGAATTTTAGTACATTGTGCCATGGAGATATATAGCATATCCTCAGGTAAAGATTATAAAAAATTTTCAAAAATGAATGAATTAATTTCAGATGAATATGCTAGTATATTGAGGATAATTACTTAGACATCAAACATCAAAATAAGGAAAGCCTAAAGCCAAACAACTCAGAAGCTCTAAATATTTAAGCAAACTCAATAAAATAGTCATTTATTTAAGTTAACTTGGGAAAAAAAACAGAAAGTTGGTTGTTTTGATGCTAAAATTTTGAATTACTTTCATGTATAATGGAATTTTTCCCACCCACATTCTTTCAAAAGTCAAATTAACTGATAGTATGTAAATTAACCAGTGTTATTATTTTTATTAACTGGCCATTAAGAGTCTGGTTACCTTTCCCATTATTCTAATCAAATAATGCATTACTTGAGAATAAAAGTAAATACTTCCAAGTAAAAATCCATGTGTGGAATAAAAATCCATGTTCTGTTTCAAGCAGTAAAAGTCAAAGTGAATTAAGGGTATCTTAAGTAAAATCCACAGACCTTCAGCAATCATGTCTTCCAACTCTGTGTCAGATGAATTATCTGCATGCTTTGTATTATTCTGTAGCTCTGGCTGAACACACACAGAATTTATCACCTGATTATCCAAGAGAGGTCTTTTTTTCACAGGCTGTTCTATTAGCAAAGATGAACGACTCACCTTTAAAACAGAGAGAGAATAAAATGAAATAATCTTTTTAAAGACTTTCAGAAATAAGTTGGTTAAAAAAACTCTTGAAGCCCAGCTGGTGTGGCTCAGTGGTTGAGCGTAGACCAATGAACCAGGAGGTCGGGTTCAATTCCTGGTCAGGGAATATGCCCGGGTTGTGGGCTCAATCCCCAGTGGGGTTGTGCAGGAGGCAGCCGATCAATGATTCTTTCTCATCATTGATGTTTCTGTCTCTCTCCCTCTCTGAAATCAATTAAAAAAAAACTCTTGAAAAAATGGTATCAGTGATCATCTGCTTATCCAACTGATCTGATACAGTCATTCAGTGCTTTTTCCTTAAGAAAAGTGTAGGCTATATGGACATAAACATTATAGTTCAGGTCATTAGCAATATGGATGCTTCAAAGTCTCTGTCAAATGGAACTTAGCATCCTAGTTTAGGCAAATAGTTAAGAAAAAGTCTTTTCTTTAAAAAATCAGTAATACGTTTTTATTTGCCAGTTTCTTTAATTTTTTTTCTGCAACAACTTTTAAGATTTTTCATGTATAAAGCTTTTTATTTGTAGGGTTATCTCCTCAGGATAGATCATTTTTATGTGTATTATACAGATACAGTAATGGTAAAAAATGGACAGAGTACATGAAGACATTTCTCTAAAGATGACATACAGATGGCTAAGAGACATATGAAAATATGGTCAATATCATTAATCATCAGGGAAATGCAAATTAAAACCACAATGAGACTTAGTGTGATGAACACACTGTAAGGTATATAAATGTCAAATCACTATATTATATACCTGAAACTAATGTAATATTGCTAATATAATATTGTCAACCAATTACACTTAAAATAGAGATAAGGGAACTACTGTTCAGTGTTTAGGTGATTTCTTTACAAAAGAAAGAACGACTAGAACTCAAGTCTCCTGATTCTTAATTCAGCAACCAAATCTATAATCATGAAAACAAATGGAAAAATCCACAAACATTAAAATTAACAAAAAATTCATGTACGATCAGTATACTTAGGTCATGAATAATACTTATTTTAGAACTGTTTTCAGCAAAAACAGTCCAGATCAAAAATAATTACTGATTTGCTAGTGAACCCTGAGCTAATCTGAAAAACAGAACCTCTTATTCTATTTAAGAATGCGGGTTAATTCTCCAATGTCTGCCACACTTGGTCAAAAATAACTTATTAAAAGTTTCTATATTTAACTTTAGAAAATAGTCATCCATATACTTTTAAACTGTGTTCATTTCAGTTAGTATATTTAATATGCCTCAAGTAAAATTTATAAAAATTATTGCTGTAAAAAACTATAATATTCAGTGCTGCTAAGGTTTTACACTCATGGTGTGTTAATAAATTTAAATAATATTTCTAGAAAATAATTTAGTAATATATATAGAATCTTACAAATATATATGTAAATATAAATACATGCCAGTACTTCTAAGGAATTTATGCTAAAGAAATTATTTAAAATGTGGATAATTTATATACAAAGATATTCCTTTCAGACTATTTAAATAGTGAAAACATGGAAACTTAAATGTCCAACAATAATGAAAGGATTACATAAATTTTGGTTGTATATAAAGCAGAATATAATGTAACCTTTCAAAATGTTTCCAAAGTACTATTAATATTATGAGAAAACTAGAGGCTCAATGCACGAAATTCGTGCAAGAGCCTTGGCCCCCGCCGTCATGGCAGCCACCTCTGCCTTGGCCCCCGCCCACCGCAGCTTTGTCCAGAAGGAAGGACATCCAGAAGGACGTCCGGTCTAATTAGCATATTACTTTTATTATTATAGATAAGAGCTCAAGATATACTAAGTGAAAGAAGCAAAACTATCTACACTAATAAGAGAGACAGATGTAAATTGACCGTACCTTTGTGACACCCACCAGCCAATCAGGAGTGAGTATGCAAATTAACCCAACGAAGATGGTGGGTTAATTTGCATGCGCAGGTGCCAAGCGGCCCCAGCCACTCCAGGCCTCTGGGCATCGTGGGAAGGTGGAAAGGCAGCTCTGGGCTGGAACGAAGGCAGAAAGGTGGCTCCAGCCGGAGCAAAGGCAGTGCCAGCAGCCAGGGGAAAGAAGACCTATTCTTGCACGAATCTTCGTGCATTGGGCCTCTAGTATATATAATAATCATCTTGATCATATGAAAAAAATATATATAAATGTACACAATGTGGTATTAGTGGGGATTTTTCTGTACTTTTCCCAAATTTCCCTTTTTTTGTAGTGTAAAGTTGTAACTGTCATTAGTAATACTGATAAATAGCTATGTCTATTAAGTGCCAGTACTACACAGAATAATTTATGTATATTTAATCCTTACAACAACTCTAAGAGCAAAGTATCATCTCCATTTGCCGGATGAACAATATGAAGATCAAAAAAGACTGTGTAACTTTGCACAGTCAGTATGCTGCAGAGCCAGGATCCAAACACTGAGGAATAGAGAGAAATGACTGTTTCTCTACTCACTAAATCAGGATTCTTATAGAAGATCCATGTTTAATACACCCTTAGTAAACTGAAAACAAAGCAACTAATGAGGCAACCAACTACTGTAATGCTACCCATGAATCTTAAAAATTAGATGATTCAAAGACATTCAAAGTAAACTATTTTGTTTTATTTTGGCTACTCATTTTTTAATTTATTTTCTAAGGAAAAATGTTCATCTCTAGAGAGTAGCATATAAGGGATATATAACTAGTCTCAAATTACAAGACTTTTAGTGATACTTCGAGGTGAGCATTTTAAAGCATTTAAAAAATCTGATTGAAGGCTGAGATTTAAGAATGAGAATATATATTTGCTAATTATAAACCATCCACTGGGTAATTTCAGAAGGATTAAATCATTGGGAAGTTATTATTTTCTGTTCACCAAGTATCACATTATATAAGAAACACAATTTTTAAAAAAATACACTTAGGTATCATTTTAGTCCCCTTAAGAAGAAAAAATAGGAAAATTTATTTTATTGGAATAAACTTCCAACTATCTTTCTCTAAAAATTATAAAACTGACATATTTATATCCTTAGTTTATACATCTACAGAGCTAGCATAAAATTCTAGAAGTATATTTACAGTATATACATGATATATATAGAAAGATAAATTTTAGATAAAAGTGTCTTTTTTGAAATAAAATTACAAGCTTTTTATTAGAGAAAAATAGACTAAATTTTAAAATATTATTACATAAATTATTTTAAAAATACAAACTTGCTTGTTACTTACGGGAAATGGCTCCAATCCCTCTTGAATTACAAAGCCTTCAATAACATGGGTCAAGATCTGTGGTTTAACAATGGCCTGTGGAGGTTTGTTTTCTATATTGGGAATGCTATTGGGCATAGATGTAATATTATTCCTTGTGGTAGCAGCTGGAAGTAAGAGTGGAGGAGGAGGAACAGAAACATGTGAAGGATCTGAAGGAGATTTAATTACTGAAGCGCTGACTGATGCCACAGCAGGTAATTCCACTTCCTCCCCCTGCGCCCCCACGTGCGGCACCGGCTCTGGCGGACGTAGGACGGTCCACCTCTTCACTCTCAGAGACCCTTTCTTTTTCTTTAATTATAGTTTGATTGTTTTTTTTATAAAATCTTCAAGTTTAGACTTTTGGAAAATGCTTTTAAAAAAATTTTTTTTAGAAATATATATATTCTTATTGATATCAGAGAGGAAGGGAGAGGGAGAGAAACATCAGTGATGACAGAGAATCATTTATCAGCTGCTTCCTGCATGCCCCCTACTGGGGACTGAGCCTGCAACCTGGGCATGTACCCTGACCAAGAACAGAACTGAACTGTGACCTCCTGGTTCATGGGTCGATGCTTAACCACTGAGCAACACTGGCTGGGCTAAAAACTTTATGTTTATTACCTCATTTAATCTGCACAATAACCTTATGAGATAGAAACTACTATGATCCCCTTTTACAGAAGAAGGGGGTAACTTGCTCAGTTATCATTCCAACCATGGTTGAAAAAAAAAACTGTCCCAAATTAAGAATAATTACTGAAATTGTTGCTTTTTCAAAAAAATTTTAAGCTGCATAGATATTAAATTTTCTGTGTTACTATTTATATATTCCAAATGATATAAGGGAATAAAAGCACTTTGAAAGTATGCTTAAATAAAAATGGATCATGAAATCCATAGAATAAGTAAAAATTTTAGTGAACTACACAGGTTACATCACCTTTATTTCAAACAGTAAGGCTAACTCAAATCCATGCACAAATGTTCTCTATTTTATTGTGTGTGTTTTAAATTCGTCAGTGGCAACATCTATGTCAATTTGAGGAATATTGTACTACCAGGCAATTGCAAAATGTTGGCCTGGATCACTGTGATTCCTCCCTTTCAAACACTTGAAGACCTCAATAAGATAGTCCCACCAGCCTGTGATGGAGACTCTACCTACCCATCCATTCGATAGCACTGAAAATTACTGCCTGTGTGAAAGTGGAAAGATAGAACTAGCTGATAGTAAGGAATATCAGTGAATACAGATATCTGAGAATAATTAAAAAGAGCCGAGATTTATGAAAAATGAATTCTAGATGGAAACAAGTCCCTCTATTTTTCAGGTTTATTCCATGATTTGATGAGAGTTATTATAAATATCAGCCTTGCTTGCTTTTCTCCCTCATATACTACAAAAGAGTAAGTATGAAGTAAATTATAGGAAGATTCAAAAGTCTATAATGTATTTAGACAATATAGCCAGAGGGATAGGCTTAACAGGATCTCAGACTATATCCCTTACCTAATATGTGAAGATATACTTGTGTTCCAATATTTAAAAAATTTTACAATTTCCTCTGAGTACCATTAGTGATACTTTTCAGGTAATCCAATTACAGTCACAAAGCAAGGTAATTATCCAATTACTATAAATTTCTTTCTGCCTTTAAACCAAAATTCCAGAAAATCTGCAGTAACATAAATTCATTTTCAGTGTACAGAAAATACAAAACAGTTAGATTTTCTTAAATCTATCGTCTGAAGTATTGTTTTAAATATACAAAGGCAATAATATTAAACTGTCTTAAATATTTATATAATTTTACTGACTAAATGTTTTCTATTTTTAAGAAGAGAGAAAAATTGGAACAAAACTGATTTTCCCCTTTCTAAACTTTCCAGAGATTCACTTCTGTAGTAAGAGAATAAAAGCTGGAGAGAACAGAAGGGTTAGAAATGTGGCATGTTGAAGAAAAGAGAGGGCAAGTGTTACTGAGGGAGCAAAGTCAGTGCCCCATTACAATTCATTTCAGGTTCTTCTTACCTGAAATGATCATGAGGACCAAGAGATAATCAAGAGAACAGAATACCTACAATGAAGCCTGAACCAACATTCGTATTACCTGGGTCAGAGGTCAATAAACTTTCTATAAAGGACAATATGGGTTTTGCAACTACTCATCTTTGCTGCAGTAACACAATAGTAGCTATAGGTAATATTTGAACAAATGAATGTAGCTGTATTGCAGAGAACTGTATTAAAGAACAATGAAATTTATATTTCACATAACATGAAATATTATTCTTCTTTTGATTTTTTTCAACCATTTTAAAAAAACGCCGTAACACAGAGTGTATCTTTTTTAGGCTCTAGAGACACTGGGTAACAGATCATACTAATGTTTTAGTAAAATATCTAGGATTCACAGTCACTTTGATATTGTGAAGAGGAGCATACATAAGATTTACTTTAACTTAAAAGTAGTAGTGACATAGTGAATAAGAATTTGAATGCTTACGCTCAATAATTTTTTAATCCATCTCTACTAAGAATTAGTGAGGCTTAATTTAAGTACCGTATGGGAAAGAACACTTTTAAAAGATTTATTCAGTTTAGATCACAAGCAATTATGAGGAATGCCAGATACGATTTAGAATGCTTTGTGATTTAGGGAAAGTATAATTTAAATCTTTTGATAGAACTTTGATTTATTCCAATTTTTAAGATAGAAATAGCTTTACATATGAATCTGAATGATCATATGAAACACATCTGTACAAACCAGTAAAAATTAAGAAGCTACGATGTGCTTTTCATTTGAGTGGTTCCTTATCAGTTGTTTTAATTGTTCCTCTTTAAAAAAAACCCCACTTAATTATTATGTTTTACTGTAATTAATTACATAAATTAGTTTAATACCATCTGTAGTGAAAAAAACAACAACTTTCCCATTACTAACAAACTAATAGAAAATCCCCCCAATTGAGATATTTCCTTACCTAACAAAGGATGGTCAGAAGTCAAATCCTCCCCTCTCCCCACAGTTATAGCTGCTGGAGACAACGTGGGTGGTGGTGGGGTTCTGTCCATGCGAACACATTCATCTGACTCTTCTGGCATTTCCTCTTCACACATATCTTCCACTTGATAAACCTGCAACAACAAACCACACTGCCTTAAAAGGTTGCTAACAATACTTTTAATAAGGTGTTCCTAATTTAATTTTAACAAAATAAATTCCAAGTATTTTGAATTTAAAAACAGTAAAATGACTATTAGCTTGAAAAGAAAACTTTAAAAATAAAGTTTTGGAAATGCTTGGCTAAATATTTTGTAAATATATCACTAAAAGCAAGTTGTGAATCAGTATCTATGTTACAAATGAAAAAGGTTTCCAAAAAGGTAACAGGCAAGTCAGGACATATTTTTAATTTTGAGAATTAAAAGAAATGTTTTGATTTTCTATAGTCTACTTTGATAATTACTATTGTTTCTGTTAACTTCTAATTGTGATAAATCAAAATAAATACTATTTTTCATAAGCACACTAAGTAAGTCTCCAAATAACACAAAATATAACAGGAAGTGTATTGCCAAAGGACTACATCTCAGGCTCTTTACTATATTTATGTCAAAGATTAAATTATGAAAATATCTAAGTGCCCACAAAAAGGTATGCATGCAATTACATCTGTCTTTAATCTTCTGATCTACTCAAGATTCTAATGATTTTTTTATAAACAAACTAGAGGCCTGGTGCACGAATTCGTGCACCAGTAGGGGGGTCCCTTGGCCTGGCCTGCGGGATCGGGCCAAAACCAGCTCCCGACATCTCCTCAGGGGTCCCAGATTGCGAGAGGGCACAGGCCAGGCCGAGGGACGCCACTGGTGCACGATGGGGACCGGGGAGGGATGCGGGAGATTGGCCAGCTGGGGAGGGACCCCTCGCCTCACTCAGTCACAATCGGCTGGACCCCAGCAGCAAGCTCACCTACCAGTTGGAGCTTCTGCCCCCTGGTTGTCACAGCATGTCATAGAGACTGGTCAACCAGTCGACTGTCTGCCCCCTGGTCATCAGTGCACGTCATAGTGAGCAACTGAGTGACCTTAGAATATCATTAGCATATTATGCTTTGATTGGTTGAATGGCTGACTGGACACTTAGCATATTAGGCTTTTATTATATAGGATATCAGGTAAACAGAAAAATATCTGTCCTGAAATAACATACACACATATACCATACTAACCCATTTGGGACATTAATTTTGGTTATTTAATATTATTCTATAATTACAGAGGAAAGTTATTTTATTATTATTATTTTTTTATTGATTTCAGAGAGGAAGGGAGAGGGAGAGATAGAAACATCAATGATGAGAGAGAATCACTGATCGGCTGCTTCCTGCACACCCCCTAGTGGGGATCGAGTCCGCAACCCAGGCATGTGCCCTTGATTGGAATCGAACCTGTGACCCTTCAGTCCGCAGGCTGATGCTTTATCCACTAAGCCAAACCAGCTAGAGCCAGAGGAAAGTTTTTAGGTTGTTAACTTCCTTGTTATTCAATGGTAAAGATTATACTTAAACACAGATTCAAAAGCACTCAGAGAAGGAACCATATAACAAAATATATCTTATTAATTTCAATAACTTTAATACTGAATTTTCAAAGTCCACTTCTAGAGATTGACACAGGTGCTTTAGTTTGTCAGCATTATTTATTTAACCATTGTAAAAGACTGTAGGTTTTTTCTAAAAAAGCCACAAAGCAATTCATCTCCCTTTTTTATGTATAAAGCTTATTACTTACGTTTACAAAGGTTGTGAGTTTTTAAGATTATTTACTCAAACTGATTAAAATTTCTAATAAATGTTAAAATAAAACCTTTCAACATTAACAAAAAAAATTTAAGTGATATCTAACATTGTACTATTTTTAATCAAACTATCGATAAAGTTTGATTTTTAAGTACATAAAATTAAATGTAAAAATGATCAAAATTTCTGAAACCAGAATAAGCCAGATATCATAAAAAGGACTATAAAGTTTCATCCACAAAGGCATATTTAACAACAGATATAGTTTTCTGTGTTTTTTTTAAACTGACTTTCCAAGACTCTACTAAGAAATCTTTTGCCTTAAATTTTTAAAAGTCCTATTGTTACTAATAAATTTATATCAAATATTATATCCAGGACTGTGATCTGAATCAGCTCTAAGTAGGCAACATTTTTCAAGTATTTGCTCACAACTCTGCAAACAGAAACCTGTTTCACCAACAGATACCTTGCCTCATGTCTGGATCCTCAGAAGTGAAAGTAGTTGTTCAGTATAGTACAGTGTGCAATCATGATAGCTGCTAATATCTGTACATGATACATTTTTTAAATGATAGTAATATCCAATACAGGGGAAGTTATCCAAAAAAAAGAAGTCCTGGGATGAAAGGAAAGAAAACAACAAAACCATCTAGTGAGGGGTACCTGTTGCAGTAGTGATTACCTTAATTTGGTGGAGTGGGGATGTTGATTCAGAAGTAATTAGACAAGTATCAATTTATCTACCAGTTCAATTTTATCTGTGTAGCATTCCTTTCTTAGCTATTACTTTTCCTCCAAAGGTCATTATCTTTTTTTTAAATGCTAAACTCTCTTTAATATTAATGCTATCACAAGTTTTTCAAACACCTACTACAATACCTTTTAAGAAATCAAAGTTTGATAATGCATAGAACTCTGATTTTTAAAAAGTGAGAGTTGTAAAGGATAAAAAGAGGCATACCACAAATAGCATTTTCTGAAATAATCCATCAAAGAATACTATAAAATACTTTTTCATTCCTTATAGGTCAGCCTAAATATGTATTCTTCCAAATTGCCCATGTAAAGGCAAAATAAGTTAATGAATAAGAGAAGTAGATAAAAACACATCTGTCAGACATCTGGCACCATCAGCATAAAAAAATACATAAAGGCAACAACTAAAATATTGAATAAAGCAAAGAAGTAGAGGTTTTGCTGATAAGATCATTAGGAAACTTCACATCATAATTTCTGTTTAGCTCATAACTATTCTAAAACTAGCAATGCCTGCCAAACTTACCTCAATAAAGTGCATTAGTGCCATCTGTCTCCCTTTCCTAACGAAACTATGGACTATTGATTAGCTCTAAATTGTCTATTCTCACCACATGAAAAAACTTTACAAATATATCTCTTTTAAAAAAATACTGACTTGACTGGCCAGCGTAGCTCAGAGGTTGAGCGTCGACCTATGAACCAGGAGGTCAGGGTTTGATTCCCGGTCAGGGCAAATGCCTGGGTTGCGGGCTCAATTCCATGTGTGGGGCATGCAGGAGGCAGCCAGCCGGTCAATAATTCTCTCTCATCACTGATGTTTCTATCTCTCCCTCTCTCTTCCTCTCTGAAATCAATAAAAATATATTTTTAAAAAATTACTGACTTTACTTTGATAATTCACACTTTCAAATTTGAAATCTTTTAAGAAGTAAATATATCTCTGTACCTTTAAGTATTTGAAACAATCGGGAAATTATGAAGACAGGTGTAATTCGTGAAGAAATATTTGAGGAAAAAAAATATTTGATCAAAGATAATAAATGAAAGATACAGCAATTTAATAAATAGGCTATGGTACAGAAAAGTGTATGAAAGATAATATGGAAATATCGATAGTATGAGCATACCAGTGACAGCAGAGAAAGTTATCATTTTCACAGACACACACACCCTTCCAAAAATGAGATAACATAAATTTAAAACAAAGTTTTTAAAAAGAAATCAGGAAATAACAAATTAAGAACGTAAATATTTTTAGCTTTAAGTGTTATGTTTTTCATATTTCTATCCCAAATATATTCCTCCAAAGTTTACCCTAACAGAAACAATTAGAAAAGTGTAAAGCATATAAGGAAATTTTATTTTCTACTTGTTAAAAACAAATTCACTGAACTATAAAGTAAAAATATAAATTTAAATTAAATTTGATTTCTTTGAAGATACTACACACTTCGAAACCTGTGTACAATATCCATTGTAAACTCTCCAAAACTCCATTAAAAGAAAATATAGACATGATAATTGAATGGCAAGCTTATTTCTAGATGCCCATTGTTGTTTTTGTCAAGTTCTATCTATATATATGAAAGCCTAAGCAACCGAACAACCAAATGACTGGTCGACCAGTCACTATGACGTGCACTAACCACGAGGGGGCAGACGCTCAATGCAGGAGCTGCCCCCTGGTGGTCAGTGTGCTCCCACAGCGGAAGTGCCGCTCAGCTGACTGACGGGTGCCAGACACTGGGCTCATGGCTGGCAAGTGCAGCTGCAGCGGCACAAGCCTCTCCCACCTCCATGGCAGCACGCTACCAAGTGGCAGTGGTGGCAGGTGCAGCAGGGGTGGGATGAGCAGGTGCAGTGCCCGGCCCCACTACTACATCCCTTGGGGGGGTGTCAGACTGCTGGTTTCGGTCCGATCCCCGCCTGCAGGGATGGGACCGAAACCAGCAGTCCAACATCCCCTGAGGGGTCCCAGATTGCAAGAGGGAGCAGGCCAGGCTGAGGGACCCCACCAGTGCACGAATTTGTGCACCAGGCCTCTAGTTTTGAATAAAAGTGAACAGGAAATGGAATTCAATCTCTTTATGCCTAGTACGTCAGTCTTAATGATAATAAAGAATCTATAAATTAGCATCCTGAGGACCAAAATGTTTCCCATTAAGGAACAGACTTTGAAACTCCCTTCCTTTCTGAGCAAATGGTTATAGGTCTTTAAGTGATAAAGTCCCTTCAGTGAGGTCTTTATGTAAAGATATAAACCTCCTTTTGGGAATACTGTATTTTTCAGTTACAAATTAATTATGAATTTAATCATTCTGCCTAAAAATTTTAAGACCTTATTCAATTTTTACTGTAAATTATTTTATAAATATAAAAAATCCTTTAGAAAATTTTTAAAGAAAAACACTTTTCAAGACAATTTTCCTTTCTAGACAACATGTACCATTTTTAGAGGTTTAGTCTGATAAAATCACCAAATCTCAATTACTCAAAATTTTTACTCTTCCCAATGGATTTTTTTCATCCTCAGTATTCAATTCATCCACTGAGATTTTTTTAGGGTTTTAAATGAGAAATATTTTAATTATATATTTTCCCTTAGTAGAAATTTAAAAATCAGAAGTTTAATAATTCTGGTAGCCTACAGTTAATTTTTTTGTAAAGTTAAATTCTTTCCTAGAATAAATGTTTTTACAATTTTAATTACAATATATAATTTTACAAAAAAATTGTATCATACAAGCATACTCCACCTTGAAACAAAAGCATCTAAAGGCCCACGACTTCAGAATGCATACAACCAAAAAGGTTAGCTAGATAAGCCATACGTTTAAGCACATACAAGCCAACAGAAGGGATCTATGAAGGATAATCACCTTAAGAGAAAAAACTTTGTGCAGATGACACTGGTTCAAATGTATTCCCTTGGGGAAAAAAAATCAACTCTGTAAAGATAGCAGATGGATTTGTTTAAATAGTAATAAAATTAACAAGGGACTTTAATAACCATCACAAATTATCAAGCATGCAACCATACTACAACAAATTGCCTTTTTTTTTTTTTGCCCATACAGCAGCATGTTTGTCAGAAATTGACAGATGTAAATTTCAAGCTTTTAAAACTCAGGCATGTAGCTCTAGCAATAAATATAATGTAGGAGAAAATAGTTTTTACTTTTTCAGCAAGAAAGTCAAATAGCTTCCAAGGGCTTACCACTGGTGGATCAACAGGTGCTGGTGGTTGTACTTGTAGGTTTACCGCAACAGTCTGTGGAGGAGGAAGAGTCTGAAATGGCAACTGGACCAAAGCTTCTGCAGCTGGAAGCTCCTCTTCTGACACCAAAGCATTCTGTACCAAAACCTGGCCCTGGGACAGAATTTCAGGCTGCACTTGTAAAGATTGCATAGACTGTAAGGGTAGTGGTGGAATCTGAGCTGGAGGAGATGCTGACATCTGCGGAGGGGTTGCAATTGGGATTGGAGAGGACTGCAGGGTTGAATATTGCTGGTGTGATGCTGGAGACACAATCTGCTGACCTGGGGACACCAAGGCGGACTGCTGAACGGGGCCAATGTGTACAACAGGGGAAGCTGAAAGTGGAAGATGGGATGGAAGATTCAGCTGTGCTGTTGGCTGCACCTGATTAGCAGTGGACTGTTGCAAGTTTGGCCCGGGCTGGAGAGCTGATGACATAAGAGGGTGTGGCTGGATAAGTGCTTGTGGATGAATAATTATGGTAGGAGACTGACTTGGTGAATGAGGTGGTGGAGGAGACACCACTACTGACTGCTGTGCTGACTGTGACTGGCTAGGAGACATTGTTAAAGGAGGGGGATGACTCTGAATTGGTGAACAATGCTGTGACTGGGCATTACTGGGAGCTGGAGGAAGGCCATGGTTTTGGAGTGGTATACAGTGCTGGGATGGGGGTGGATCTTGAGTTGGATTTTGGAGTGTAATTGGCTGCATTTGCTGCTGTTGCTGCTGTAATATCAGCTGATGATGGGAAACCTTGGGAGGTGGTGAATGAAGAGGAATCTGTTGATGCTTTATTAGAGGATGCGGCTGAATTGGAGGATATGAAGCTGTGAGAGAGAAAAAAAATGACAATTAGTATTTATTTTAAAAATATCATTGAAATTTTAAATAAATTTAAAGGAGGAAAATTTTTACATCAGAAAGTTATTAAAAGTCTTCTAGACAAGAGTGTAATGACAAAATGTAATGTAATGACAAAAAACTTTTCCTTGGAAAACTATAGATTTCATAAAATAAACTGCACTGTGGTAAAACTGCCTAAAACAATTAATTTATAAATCTGAATCTATACATGATTTATTTTTATTAAATTGTGTAGGTCCCCAGAAAACGTGTTAACTTTTAACAACATTATCCACTTAAATTCCTTCTTTGGAGAGAAGTGGAGTATCACTGAATAAGTATAATATATATAAAGATAACCTCAAAATCATAAAAATGCAATTATTAAAAATCCATAAAATAAAAGTCTCATTCTTTCTAATCAGTGTCTAAACATTCTTCCAACTAATCACCAATGTAATCACTTATAAAGCTTCCCAAATAAGTTACCAGATTGAGCCAAGATGAAAGAGTTGGTATTATTTGACCAAGGAAGAGAAAAAGTTTTGCAGGAAAAGATAATTCAATTAAGCAAAACAGATGTGTAACTCCTAGAGCACAAATAATCACTGTAACAAAAAAATGAAATTCCAGGGGCCCTTCCAAATCTAGGAGAGCACTAGTTTTGCTTGTAGAGAAAATGAGGCAATAAAAAAATTCATACTGTCTAAATAAAGCATCTTGTTTTACTTCTTTGCCCCCCCCCCAAAAAAAAACCCAAGCAAACAAACAAACAAAAAAACCCTACAGTAATCTATAGTACCAGTTTTCTCCACAGAGGAGCCACTCACAACAGCGATAATATATAAAGAATTAACAAAGTTAAAATCCCCATCATTATGCCTCTTTTGCATACTGGTGTTTATGTTTACACAGAGAGGATGCTGGTGAAATCCTCTCTATCTAAGTAAGAATGGAAACTGGGTTCACTATATATAAATATATGATCATTATGTTTCACAGCAGAAACTAATATAATACTGTATGCTAACTGTAATTGAAAATAAGTGAAAAAAAAAAGAAACTGGGTTCACTAGAAGATAAACTGAAAAGGTGGCTTAATATTAATATCATGTAAAAATTAAAACAGGCCAGAAGCAACCCTTGCTGAATAGCTCTTGGTTGAAGTCAGATGAATTATCAGATGAAAAACAGGGGTTTACAACCAGGGCCTGGAGTTGTAGGAGGCCTTCCAGAGAGCCATATATACAGAGCCAGCTTGTTTGAAAACGATCCCAAACCTTTAATAGAAACATCTTTGTCGTCATTGTCAAAAACAAAATAACTATGGCCACCACTTATCTGGTCTGTCCTGTGTGCCAGGCACTGTGGAGTGGATCCTCTTTAAATCTTAGATTTTATCGTTACCATTTCACAATGAAGAGACCCAGCCCTGGGAGGTTAAGTGACCGCCCGAGGACCAAACGGATCCTAAATGGACCAGTTAGGAGTTAAGTGCAAGTCTCTCGGGCTCCCAAGTTAATGGCGAGGTTGGAATTTTTTTCCTTTTGCAGCAGCAACAAAGGGCACTAAAGAAGTTGCCCATCTCCTTGAGAAAAGTTCTGCAATGTCCTGTAACTCCTCCCAAGGCACTGGCGAGCTGATGGCTACTCTGAATGTACTTGAGCTGCAACTACTAACCTAACTGTTTTCGGCTGGCAAATTTAGTTGACTTAATGTAAGCCCTATTTCCCACAGGAGTGATGTTATAAAAAAAAAAAGAAAAAAAAAATTAAAACAGATCTAAAGACAGGGCGAAATTTTTGTCTTAATTTCAGAATGTGAAGCTAAAGATCTTGCATCTATTTTTATACTCAGCCACATTTGTGACAAAGGCCTTATAAAAATTTCTAACAACTTTTCTTTTTAAACATTTCTGCATTTGGTAGGTTTTTAAATTTTTCATGATTCTTTAAGGAAATCAACATTTGGTTAACATCTCAAAAAGATATTTAGAAGGTTCAACAAATGTCCATGAATTTTTTAAATGGAAATTAAATTTCATCTAACAAAATAATTTTCATCTAACTAGACTGGCATTTCAAACTAAGACTGAAAATTGTCAGCACTTTATAAATGTGTTGATAAAGACTCTATGAGTATTCAATAAAATTTTGGATATCTATAGAGTGCCTTTCTTCCAAGGGGCTCAAGGTACTTACACATTGCTCACTGTACTAAAAATAAGTGCCTATGAAGTAGATAGGTATTATTCCCCTTTTACAGATAATAAAATTAAGTGTTTGCAAGTATAACAGCAAAGGCCCATTTTAATTCAATTTTAAGTTATAATTAAAATTTAGCATATTCTTTAAGTATAATGGTTATTATGTTCACAGGAATAAAAATTCCTTCTGTGCTCTAGAAATATTTTTTTTATATTTTAGAGTTGATAATCCAACAGATTAATAGTCTATCCTTTCACCTAGGTTAAATTTTTCTTTGATCAGAAATCAAAGTGAATCTATTATACTGTCCATAAGTCCAACTGATAAGCACATCTATTACAGAATAATTATGAGGATATCTGAAATAATACTTCTGTGCAAGAAAAGCACCAGTGCTCTGGAAAATCATATAATGCTTTTTTTTTCCTGGTTTTAATAAACACTTTATTGTCAGGGTGGCATTATACTTGGAGAATTTGTGATTGGTATCATCTCTCACTTATGTAGTAGAACTCTAATTACTATAAATAATATATTACTGTAAATTACTAAATACATTATTTTATTCAATAGTTACAACCACACCCACCCATCCCAAATAGTTACAACAACACCATGAGGTAGGCAGGGTACTACACTAATCCAATATGTTACAGATGAAGAAACTCTGAGCATTAAGAAACTTGCCTGAAATCACCAAGAACCCATATTTCTAACTAAGTCTGGGTTCCTATTATGGACTGAATGTTTGTGTCCCACAAAATTCATGTGTTGAAGCCCTAAATCCTAATGTGACAATTTGGTGATGGGGCCACTAAGGAAGTAATTAAGGTTAAATGAGGTCAGAAAAGTGGGACCCTGACCTAAGACTATTAGTGCCCTTGTAAGAAGAGACCCCAGAGGGCTCACTATCCTCTCTACTAGCGCTCAGATAAAAGGCCATGTGAGAACGCAGCTAGAAGGCAGCCATCTGCAAGCCAGGAAGAGCTCTCACCAAAAACTAAACACTGCCAGATCTTGATCTTGGGCTTTCAAGCCTCCAGAACTGTTGTTTAAAACACCCAGCCTATGGTATGTTTTTTTATGGCAGCCTGAACAGACTAACACAGGCTTTTCATTACACACTGAATTAATGTCTGCAAAAAAAGGGTATATGGGGGGAGGGGGTGACAGGGGGATGGGTGGGGGGAGGTCAATGGGAGAAAAAGGAGACATATGTAATACTATAGGTAATATCTTAAACAAATAAACAAAGGGTATATGTTTTTCCAACTAGACTAATTTCATAAAAGCTTTAAAAACTGCTATAAAAAACTTGAGCTCTAATATAGTTAAGGTTAATTTCCAGACATTTGCCTTATTTTATATAATAAAAACAGAATTATTAACTATCAAGTGGGAACTCCCCCTTCAAGTATGAAGAAAACCAAATTTTAGCACCCTAAAAATACATACAAGGAAGCAATAACCTTGTCCATTATAATAATTATTAAACTACACTACACTGGAACACAGATTCTTTTAGTATTTGAAAGTTACCTGTAGGAACAAGCATTTTACTAATTGAGGAAAAGGACAAATTACCAATCCAAGAATCTCCCAAAATAAAGCTTAGCTTCAGACTAACTTCCCACCAGCAAGAGCAGAAAAACTAAAAGGCTGGAAAATACAGTTTTCATCAGAAGATATAAATTGCTTTGAATAACCACAGTGTAAGGCTTGAATAAATTTTAACAAATTTATAATTTGGTAGTTGCAAAAGTTTATATGAGTTAGGATGTTCCATTTGGTTTTGTTTCTAATCGACAACCCCGTAGAATACTAGGTTAATACACATAGCATCTGAATTTGGAATTGCAATTCTCCCGAGACCTTGATGGTTTTAGCTTACTGGTCTCCTCCACACCTACATAAAATATTGGCCATCAGAGGAAGACAACTACAAGGATATTATTGCACTACAGTGAAAGGGAGAAGAATAAGTGTCAACTTAGAAATAGGTACTGGGAGTTCAGGGAGACTGAAAATCTAAAAGTAGAGCTCCCTGCTGGAACTAACCCTGAAAAAGTTCCTAGCTTTCTCTGAAGGTAACAGTCTCTTTGGGAGAGAATTAACCTACCTTCCAGTATAATCTATCAAAACTATGGGAATCACTAGAAATTGTCCCAAGCAGTCATTCCAAGTACAGTGGGTCACTGCTGCTCCTCACTGACTTATCAACACTGGCCAGAGAGGCTGGTTTGAGGCTGAGAATCTCTGGACAATCCTATATAATAAAAGGCTAATATGCAAATCGACTGAACGATGGAACGACTGGTTGCTATGATGTGCACTAACCACCAGCTGCTTAATGCAGAAGCTGCCCCCTGGTGGTCAGTGCGCTCCCACAGGGGGAGCAATGCTCAGCCAGAAGCCGGGCTCACGGTTGGTGAGCACAACGGTGGCAGGAGCCTCTCCCGCCTCCGAGACAGTGCTAAGGACCCCTCGGGGGATGTCCGCCTGCTGGCTTAGCGAGCAGGCCGGGCTGAGGGACTCCCCCCCACCACCACCACCACCACACTCAGTGCACTAATGTCATGCACTGGGCCTCTAGTACAATATAAAAATCCTGTTATCAATCCATAAAGAGAGCAGAACCTGTCACACAGATGTTTATAAAAAAGAATTCACATCTAACTATCATCTGAATTCTATGAATAAACTTACTAATTTATACGTTATAACAAAGCCTGTACTTATCTAAAGATTTAGATTTAAGAATTCTAAGCAGTGATACCTAACTAATACAAATGGAAAAAACTGTGCTATAACGTCCATGATTAAACTGGGAAAAATATCAACTATTAATCCAACAAATATTTATTGTCCACTTATTGCAGAGAAATATATATAAGATAAAAGGATGAAAAGGTGAATCTGCAAAAAGGATTAAAAGAATCAATAAATGTAAAGTGCCTGACACACAAGTGCTCGATATTATCCTACCCTCAAAGAGCTTACCACCTAATAGCAAAGCTAAGATCAATACTTATATAAATAACTATAAAAGAAAAAGTGCCATTAAAAAGCATAAAAATGCTATACAAATTCAAAGTAATGAGAGATTTCTAACAAAAGAAATCAAATAATTCCAACAGTTTGAGATTAGGTGATTTAGAGAACATGGCACAGAGGAAACTTAAAAAAAGAAATAGATTTAGGAGGAGTAAATGCAGACTTCAGTAGTGTAAAATAAATCTTTAGAAAGTAATGCAGTTATAAAAGGATAGAAAGAAGTTGCTTCCTTGATGAGGTTGGATGAAAGGAAAATTTTTTTAAAAATAAAACATATGTGACCCAGTACATCTCTCCATCCCTCTCTCTCTCTCTCTCTCTCTCTCTCACACACACACACACACACACACACTTTCAATAAACAATAATTATAATTACACGGCTATAAAAACATATGCATATATATTAAGGTTAGAGAGACCTAAGTATGCTGGAGAAGCAAAGGAAAAATATCCAGCATGAGGGAGACAGAAGATGCAATAATAACTATGACGGGAGCCAGTAAAAATGATGCAATCAATGACACAAGCAAATACTGCTAACTTTAAAGAGGAAAGCAGATAATTCCTTATCTTATCAGAAGTGAAGAAAGTTCAACATTGACAAATTCTGAGATGAATAGAAGAGATGGTAAGAAAACTCACTCGAGATAGCCCCAACATTTTCAGCCTGAGAACCGTAAAGCAAGATTATCTGTAGATAGCAGGAATGCCCCAACATTTTCAGCCTGAGAACTGTAAAGCAAGATTATCTGTAGATAGCAGGAATGCACATGGGATTCAAAGTTTGATGAGAATGAAAATAACTTAGTCGACTCCCTGACATCTTCCTCTTAAAGATGAAATCCAAGATGGAAAAAAGCAATGTGGTAAAGAAAATAATTGTGCATAATCTTATTTTTGGAAAGTGATAAATTCCTCCCACTAATGACAATTTTAAACAAAAAAAAAATTTTAAAGGCTTTTAATTTTGTTCCACTAAAGCATATTAAATGAACTACACACAAATCTTGTTTTTTAAGCTAAAAGGTTTTATTGCTATAGTAGGAACTAGCACATACTGAAGATGTTAATCAAATGTCAACTGACCCCCCAAAATCCATTTTATTATTATAATTTGTTTTAGCTATTAGGCTCTTTTGATTTCTCTTTCTTCAAGCTACAATATTGAAATGTTTTTTTTTACTCATGAAATTCACATTTTAAAATGCTTTAAAATTATCATTCTTATTCAAGTAATAGACATCTTTTGTTTTTCTCTGCCTGCTAAGAAAATGAATAATGCAACTATTTTCAACAAAGGTGTTATCCCACCTGGTGCTATTAACTGGTGAATACTTGATGTCCGTGTGACAGCTGTGCTTCGTGATTCCAGACTTGGACTTTCTCCTTTTCTAACACTTTCTGGAGAAGGATCTCGTTGGCTGATTTTAGAACTGGTCACTGTTGTTTTGTTATGACAAATTGTCAATGACTGAGTTTGACTAGTGCTTTTTGGTGGACCATTCTGTGAGCTAGATAACACACCCAACTTCTGGCTGCGTAATGTTAAATTCTGAACCTAAAGAACCACATAACAAAAAATAGGGATGAAATAGATGGTATTAATTCATGTGGTAATCATTACATTATAGTAATAACGACAATACATTTATATTATGCTTTTCATAAAGCTCCAAGCACTTGAAACAATTGATTAATCCTGTAAGAAAGGGGAGTTATTATTCTAAGTAATCAAATCTTAAGTACTAAGTGAATTTTTAAAAAAGACACTAAGGGGAAGAATCATTAAGAACTCAATAAAAATGGAAAATATATATATATATGAACTTTGAACTATGAATAAATTACTCTGCAACATACTGCATTTTCAAATTATTACCAGCTTTGAGACAGCCAAAGAGAAGGAGAAAGTGGAAGGTCATTCCAAGTAAAGGGGAATACTTGAGCAAAGATGCAGCAGTGGGGGAGCCCAAGGTGTGTAGGGAAGAATGAGCAATTCCTACAACCTCAGACTGGCTGTACCATGCCAGGACTGTGAAACATTTTAAGGTTACAAGTACCTCATAAACTTACATAATTAGAGAGTGTGGATACAATACTGCTGTCTTAGTAAGTATAAGAAAAAAAAACAAAAAAGTTATCAGCTCTATAGAGATTATAAGGGAGCACTAATCTTGTACTAGTAAGAAAACGAATTCATCAAATCATCTACCCAACTATGGTAATTATAAAAATCATTTTCCTTTAACTCCTTTTTAAAGATGTTTGTTATATGTTGTTGCTGTTGTATGGAACACTCACTTGCCTTTGAGAACCAGATCTAATGAACTGAAAAGATTGTGTATGGCCTTGAAATGGTTTCTGTGACAGCTCCTATCTATACCCAGTGCTATTCTAAACATACTGCCAGTCTGGATGGTGGCAAGGATCATCCAATTACAGTCACGTGAAGTTTATAACATTTCTAAATAGCCAGGCAGAATATGCCTCTCCAATAGCTGCCCAAGTTTTTGCCTATCTGGAATGAATGAACCAAATACATTTATGCCAGCACTAGCCCCGGGAGGGAAACTAAAGTAAAAGAGATTCTGAAGTGACAAAGTAAATGATATATTGCGCTTCATAAATGTTCTTCAGTTTCATGTGTGTTCTGTCTCTACAACTATATTATTAACTGATGCTCAAAGGCTATACATTATCTTAGATCCAGGTGACAAATGCAGTGATCAGCCAATAGCAGGTGCTAAACAAATGTTTCAGGGCAGCTGAGGTTTTCATCAGTTCTATTCTAAGCTATTGAAAGAATCTTCTAAGTGAGACCATATGGAGCATCTTCTCTGATTTTTGTCAAATATTTCATAGCAATATAAGTGGACTAAAAACTATTATTGAAATTTAATGCAAAAAATAAAATGTGCTAAAATCCAGGTTTCTCAAAGTCAAGGCCCAAATCACTTCAAGCCCCATTTTCCACTACTCCAGTCCATCATACTCATATTCTAGCCATACTGTTCTACTTGCCCTTTTCCAAACTACCTTGCACTTCCTTCATGTACAGTCCTTGCTCAAGCTCCTCTTGCCTCAAATGCCATTCTTCCTCAGCGCTCTTTCAAGGCCCAGTAAAAATCCCAAAGAATCCTCCCTAAAAGCCCCTGGATAGAAATAATTTCTCCTCTCCTATCTAATGCTTTTCTCATGGAATTTGGGTCATACTGGCCTACAGCACTGCCTAATGTCTAGCTTATTTTAGAATTACTCATGTCTGTGTCTGTGAAATATGGAGGCTCTGTTTGGCACGCTCCCATCTCTGACATTCATGTTTGTACTCCCACAGTTCTGTATTGCAGACATGACAGAAGCTCCACAAGTCGGAGGTATTTTTCTGTATCTGATTCTGAAATATATATTACACATATATATTTCATATATATTACATTTTTTCTTAGGCTAACATTAAAACCTGTTCATATTTTACTAAAAAAAATCTCAACAAATATCTAGTGATACTTATTTTAAAATCTTGAAAATTTGCCAAAACCGGTTTGGCTCAGTGGATAGAGCGTCGGCCTGCGGACTGAAGGGTCCCAGGTTCGATTCCGGTCAAGGGCATGTACCTGGGTTGCGTGCACATCCCCAGTAGGAGATGTGCAGGAGGCAGCTGATCGATGTTTCTCTCTCATCGATGTTTCTAACTCTCTATCTCTCTCCCTTCCTCTCTGTAAAAAATCAATAAAATATATTTAAAAAAATAAATAAATAAATAAATAAATAAATAAAATCTTGAAAATTTGAAAAATTTCCTTCAAATGAAAAGTATATATATTAACAATGTAAATGAAGATTTGACACAATGAACCCTAAAACCTGCAACAGTCCATTTCTATAAAATAATACACTCTTTTCTTCTAAATTTTTTTTTTGTTTTCTGGAATACTGAAATGTAATGCAAAAAATAAAGTGTGCATTTTATCTTGCCTAATAATAGACAAACATGTAAATTAACCGTCCCTCCACTACAATCACCAGCCAATCAGGAGAGTATGCAAATTAACCCAACAAAGATGGCGGTTAATTTGCATATGTAGTGGGGAAGCGGTGAAGACTGAAGGCTCCGTCCGGAGCGAAGGCCTGGGTGCCGGAGGAAAACCGGTGCTGGCAGCCAGGGGAAGAGAAGGCCTATTGCACGAATCTCTTCGTGCAACGGGTCTCTAGTATATTATATATTATACTATATATTATTTATATGAATAGATAAATTTTACACTATGGCTATAATACCTATCTGTGGTCATTTTGGCTTAAATATTACATTTCAAGCTTTTAAACTATACTTCTAAAGTATATTACAAAGTTAATTTAGCTATTAATAGGAAGATCACATAGTCAGATTTCCTTGACAGAGCCTCACTTTTGAAGAAAACACACCCTTTCTAAATAAAGAATATCAGTGTACTCAAGTCCAACTTTTATTTTATCTAAACGAACACTATGATCAAATTATGGAAACTTTTCTGACTTTTGAAAAATTCTAAATTTCACGTGAAGTATTTTTGCTAATTTCACGTGAAGTATTTTTGCTAATTTCACACCTTACATTTTTATAGTGGATTACCCAAATACTCTCACACTGATTGTTCTATTTCAATCTAAGAAATACTTTGTGAATTACAGCAGCATCTCTTCTTTGCCGATGAGGAAACTAAGAGTTAATATCACATTGGCGGCAACAGAGCCGAGTTTCTAGATTTTAAATCCAAAGGGCTGTTTTCTTCTCAATTCTCACAGCATTCCCCAGATAGCCATGGCAAGTAAGATTTCTTACTCTTCTACAAACATATTTTTAGTTCTGGGATATCTTTGTGAAAAAAAATTTTCTGAAAAAAAGGTGGAGAGGAGGGATAGAACATTTAAAATAGTAAATAAGAGTAAAATACTCTGAATTTCTTATTTTTTTCACAATATGCTATAAATAAATTTTACTACTAAGGAAAAATGAACTATTATGCTGGCTTCTATCACTTAAAAAGAGTACTAAAATAAAACTTGAAATTTGGTAGTTCTCAATTACACACTAATTATTTTAAAAACTGAAAATATGAGCTTTAAAATTAACAAAGTGAAGCACAAATTTTTCAAAACTAAGAGCCCTGAACTTGAAGAAAGTTACCACTGGAATATTCAAAGTATTACCATCACTTACCACTTCCAATCTCCCTCACTGCCATTTCAAAAGCACAGAAGAGAAAAACATTTGTAGAGAAATTTCTAAAGGCTCCTCAAAGTCTACCTTTCAATTAAGTCATATTATCACAAAGCCTCATACCTGTGTCACATCAAACTGAAGTCACTTTTGTAAATTACTATGTTCATTATACTATTAAAGACACTGTAATATGTTTTCTCCATGAGACCACACAAGACAGATTGTGCTCTAGAGAGCATGTTAGTTATATTTTCCTAACTCATTTATTTTACCTTGCAAACTGTCAATCTTTTAGATGGTTGTGTTTCTTCACTATTAGCTACTTCAAAGCTAAGTACCAAATTTGTGACTCATCTTTAGACAATATATAACAAAAATAGTAATTAGTGGCATGTGATATCTAATGTGTCAGGCAGAATACTAAGTACTTTATAATTATTGTCTCATGTATTCCTTATAACAACTTTGAGCTATCATTTCTAGTTTACAGTGAAGAAACTGAGGCCTTGAAAAGGTAGTAATAAAAGCTAATATTTAGTGAATGCTTACTATGTATGAAACATTGTTGTTTTTCATTTATTAACATATTTAGTCCTCACTACAAACCTATAAAATAAGCATTATAATTATTTTATAAATATTTGTTTTATTTTATATTGTTGAAACTGAAGCAAGAGATTAAGGATATCCAATAAGAAAGTGGTAGAGCATGTATTTGAACCCAGAGAACCTGGCTTCAGAGTCCAAACTTATACACTATGCTACACTATGACCTTGTCCAAAATCAATCAACTAGCAAGTGACAAAGCTGGTAACAGTTGCTGAAGTCAGAATTTGAACTGAGGTCTTCCTGTTCCCCCACTTGCAAAAAAAGATACTAACGAGTGCCTATAATGTTCTAGACACATACATATTACTCATTCTTCAACCCACCCTGGAAGTATGTATGACTATTACAGATGTTTAGTAACTTGTCTAAAGCCACACAACTATTAAGTAACTGAAGTGGGAGTTGAAATTAAGTCCATGAATATAATCTGAATAGCCTCCTCACTCCTACCTCCATGCCACTTTCTTTTATTTGTGACTTTTTCTGGCAGGCTTTACATTTATTTTATCTTGTTTTATTGTATACATCTTGTAAATCAATTAAAATTTCAGTTGGAACAAAATATAAATAAAAAATAAAATAGAAAATATTCTGGAAGTTGATAATGGTCTAGCTTATTAGGTTTTAAAAAAAACAAAAACAGCCCAGATGGTGTTGCTCAGTGGTTGAACATTGACCTATGAACCAGGAGGTCACAGTTTGATTCCTGGTCAGGACACATGCCCCAGGTTGTGGGCTCAATCCCCGGTAGGGGGGAGTGTAGGAGGCAGCTGATTAATGATTCTCTCTCATCATTGATATTTCTATCTCTCTCCTTCCTTCCTCTCTGAAATCAATAAAAATATATTTAAAAAACAAACAGCAAAATCATTATTTCAACAAATCCATTTCACAAAGAGACATTTGTAAAAAAAAGTTTAGAGCTGAAAAAAATCTTAAAGTTAATAAAAACAAAGGTCTCATTTTGTAAACATGGAAACTAAAGTCTAACGAAGTTCAGGAATTGTGGAGGATCACAGAGCCGTTAGGAAAAACGTGAATTTAATTGGTCAACATCTTTATATATTAATATATTAAAATTGGCCTTTATTATTAAATAAAATATAATGTAAAGAGATCTATGAAAAGTAACAAAGAATACTATTACTATCTCATTTTTTGCTTTTTACCAGAAGACTGAGACTATTAAATTAAAAATAAGAAGCTGCCCGGCGGCGTGGCTCAGTGGTTGAGCGTCGACCTATGAACTAGGAGGTCACGGTTCGATTGCCGGTCAGAGCACATGCCCAGGTTGCGGGCTCCATCCCCAGGGTGGGGTGTGTGCAGGAGGCAGCTGATCGGTGATTCCCCCTCATCATTAATGTTTCTCCCCCCAGCCCCTCCCTTCCTCTCCGAAACCAATAAAAATAGATTTAAAAAAAAAATAAGAAGCCAAGGATGATCCTAAGATATACTAATTTCTATGGAAAAAGTAATATTCTACTCAATTGTTTTAATTTAAAATTTACTCATTCATTTTTACCAAATTTACTGAGGTGTAACTTACATTCAATAAAATGAATGAACCAATTCAGTGAATTTTGACGTATCTATACAACATATTACCACCACTCCAATCAAGATATAGAATATTTTCATCACCCAGAAAGTTCACTCATGCCCCTTCCATTATCAATCTCCCCTACCTTCTGACCCTGGTACCACCAATCCAATTTCTTTCCCTATAGATTAGTTTTGCCTGTTCTGGAATTTCATATAAATAAATCAGAGTATGGACACTCTGGTGTCTGGCCTCTTTTGTGAATTATAATATTTCTTTTTCAATTTTTTTATTGATTTCAGATAAAGGAAAGGAGAGGGATATATATAGAGAGAGAGAGGAAGAGAGAGAGAGAGAGAGAGACATCAATGATGAGAGAGAATCATGGATCAGCTGCCTTCTGCACACCTCCCACTGGGAATTGAGCCCACAACCTGGGCATGTGCCCTGACCAAGAATTGAACTGTGACCTCCTGGTTTACGGGTAGACACTTAACCACTGAACCACGCTGGCCGGGCAAATTATAATGTTTCTGAGATGCATTAGTTTTTTTTAATATTTTTTAATTTCCGAGTAATATCCCACAATTTGTACATTCACCAGTTAAAGAACATTGGTTGTTTCCAGTTTGGGGCTGAATAGAGCTGCTATGAACATTTGTTTACATATCTTTATAAGGATATATGTTTTCAAATCTCTCACAGTAAACATCTAAAAGTACAATTGCTGGGTCACATGTTAAGCATATGTTTAACTTTATAATGAACTGACAAACTGTTTTCCAAAGTGGTTGTACCACTTTACATCCTCACCAGCAATGTTTTGAGAATATGGCTGCTCCACATTCTCCAGAATCAGTCTCCTTCATTTCAGCCATTCTAGTGAATGTGTGGTGATACTCATTGTGGTTTTGATTTACATTTCTATAATGATTAATGATGCTGAGCATTTTTTCATGTGCTTGTCGACCTTTTGTATATCTTCTTTTGTGAAGTGTTCAAATCTTTCCCCCAATTTTAACTGAATTGCTCATATTATTACTGAGTTGTAAGCATACTTTGCATTTTCTGAATACAAGTCCTTTGTCAGATATATGTATTGTGAACATTTTCTGTGACTTGCTTCTTCATTTTTGTAACAATGTCTTTTGAGAACAATTTTTAATTTTGATAAACTCTTATTTTCTTTTATGGTTAGTGCTTTTTGTGACCTAAGAAAGCTTTCTCCACCATAAAGTTGTGAAGATATTTCCTGTTTCTTCTTCTACATGTTTTGTACTTTCAGCTGTTACCTTTAGGTCTATATTCTACTTCTATTTATTTTTGTAACTTACATGAGGAGAAAATTAAGGCTCACTTTTTCCATAGTACTAAACAAAGTAATATTCTATTTTTTTAATTTAAAACTTACCCAATTTAATTCATTTTTAATATTAAAATCCATCTTGACTTAGTTATTACATAGCTGCTTGCAAAGAAATCTACACAAAAGAATGCATCTCACATAACAAAAAATAAATCTGCTATACAATAGAACTAAACACAATGTCATATCGAAAACTCATTTTCATTTATGTCAAATAACCTAAACATCCATGTTTAATGGCATTATAATTTCCATAGAAGAAAAAACAATTTTCTTGAAATTCTTATAGTGTTTTACTAAATTTCAATCTGAAATGTATGACAAAGAGCACTAAAACGATCAGTTACTTAAACTCCAATGTATGTTTATCTTTAACCTGAAGATCCAGACCTCAAGCACCACGTTATGAAGCTAGACAAGCTCACCTGAGTAGCTGCAGACTGACAGGAAGATGACGATGACGACGAGACAACAGGAATGTCAGACTGTACAGCAGCCACAGTGGTAGCGGGTGTGAAAATCAGCTGTACAGACAGAAAAACCAAAAAAAAAAAAAAATTCTCTAAGACAAAAGAACATGTCTCACACACAATGTATAGCAGGCAAGGGAGACTGAAATTCATGACAGAAAGACAATGCAATTTAGGATTCCCTCTTAAGCAAAAAAAGGTTTTACATGACAGAGAAGTTTCTGATATAGAGAACTAAAAAAAAATCATAAACATTTTTGAAACAGTTCATGATTCTGGTGAAGAGAAAAATAAATCAGTGTTCAAAAAGGAATATGTATTTTGGTAATATGAAATCCTCATACCAAATAAACTATTATACTTAAACTAGGCTGGGGGGGTGGGGGGTTGTCCCTCAGCCTGGCCTGTGCCCTCTCGCAGTCCAGGACCCCCCCGGGGATCAGGCCTAAGCTGGCACTCAGACATCCCTTTCACAGTCCGGGGCTCTGGCAGTCCAGGAACTCTCACTCCTTACCACCCGCCTGCCATGGAGGCAGGAGAGGCTCACACCAGCCCTGAGCCTGTGAGCCTGGCTTCTGACTGAGCACGGGGGTGGGAGGGGGAAGGTGGTGGTGGTGGGGGGGGGTTTTTTCTCACTCAACCAGAAGCCAGGCTCACTGCTCCTTAGCACTGACCCCGCCCCCCCTCCCACTGATGGGGGGGTGGACGCGATCTGGGGCCAGGCTGGCCAGGGGAGGGGCCGTGGGAGGTTGAGATGCTGCAGTCGAGCCCTTTCCCACCTCTGCAGAGGCTCTGGGACTGTGCCGTCCCTTGTCCCCTCCACCCCTGCCTCTGCAGAAGGCTTGGCACCGGGACTGCCATGGCTGGCCTGGCGGCGCAGGCTTGCTGGCTCCACCCCCCGCCCACTGGTGGTTCGGGAAGGTCATCCAGAAGGACATCCGAAAGGTTGTTCAGCTGTCTGGCCTAATTAGCATATTATGCTTTTATTATTATAGATTTCTCCCAACTCAAAACTACCGTGGTAGGATTCCTAAAACTTAGGTTACAATAGACAACCATAAACCATAGTCACTGCTCTTGAATGCAAATTAAAGAAACACATAAAGAAACTCCCAGAAGTCTTTTCAGTCCTCTTTACCATAAAAGCTAACTATGCCATATACTACACTACAATATTTCACTCAGCTACATAGGATCTATAGTACAAATCTAGATTGCTCTTGATTTAAAAACCATCTATAAAGAAAAATTCATTCTAAATGTAAATACCAGAACATGTCAAAATTCAATAACAGCTTGCAAAAATAGCTTTACATAAAAAATAATAATAAAGGAAGGAAAGACATACTTGATTTATTTACTAATAATCACCATCTCTTTTCAACTGTTTTATTCAATACTGAAACAGAATGCCATTAATTTAAAAAGGTAATACAATCTATTCAGTGATTATTCAATCCAATTTAGTAAATTATGACAGTTATTTCCAAGAATGTGTAAATACTCTATTTCAAAATTGCATCGAGTTATTCAATTCCTCAAAAACCATTCCTGTTTAAATTAAAATGATCAATTAAGGAATCTTTTATATTTCAGTTCTTTATAGTATATTACTGGTAAATTTAAGTGAATTAAACAAAAAAAATATAACATTCACAAGAAGTTAATTTCTAGTACAAACAACTGAAAGCACTAAACCTAAAGAGATGTTCTAATTAATTTGAACCATATGAAACTGCCAAGGGGTCAAAAATAGTCAAATTACAACCATTTCAAATGGTTCATTCCACTTAATTCTGAAACATATTATTAATTAAATAAGAGCTCATGGCGGAAAAATGGCAATGTCTACTGAACAATCTGTAGATGGGTCATATCACTGTTTCCTATTAGAAATATGATGGGGAACTTTCTTTGCAATTTTAGTGCAGATCTGGGGATCCAGATATATATTCAGTTCACTGGACAAAAAAAGAAAAGTAAATAAATATATGCCAGTGCCAAAGTTTTTGTCTAACTACATGTAAAGACATCAAATAAAATAAATGTCAGCCAATTTCTGCATTTCTTAAAGAAGCTCAGCAGTGAAATCAGGAAATCAGAATAGCCAAATTAACCTTCCTATATTAATAAAAGATCAGAGTGAGCTTAAGAACACAAATCACCTTACAAAATTTGAGATGGGAATAACCAAAGCTCAGAACCATCAGGTAAATTACCAGAAACTTCAATCCTGATTTCAGAAGATGCCACAATATAAATTCTAACTTATAGTTAACAACCAAGTTTTTAACATTTCTAACAATTTCATCAAATCTTCTTCAAATCTGAGATGTCAATGATATACAATGGTTTTATGTATCACTATAGGTACAATTATAACTGTACGATGCCATCAATTATAAAATGCATCTCAGTTTCAGATGTTAAAATGTGAAAAAAGGTATGAAATCTGATATTAAAAGATAATCATTCCTCTGTTACAGATTTGTCAGCTTCACATGTTACTATTTGAAACACCAAGAAGGCCTACCAATTAAAAGAATTTTTCATGACATAAATGTACAAGAGCTGAGCACACGCACATAAAAATTTGTTAAACATATCTTAAATATTTAAAATGTCTCTTATTACATCAAATCAAGAAATATTTTGATCTCTCTCAAGTCCTTAAACACTAAAAAAATTTGGTAGCTCACATCTTACCATTTGAGCTCGGAGATACATTTGAGCTTGGCTTGCAGTTAGGGTAGGGGAGGTACTCCCTAGTAACATAGTCTGTTGGGTAATACTGCCGCTGGTGGAACTGGAAGCCTGGGAACGGCTTATTAACTGTGCAGGTGTAGGAGAAGTGGAGAGGTTGATCTAAGGAAGAAAACATATTAGATCATAGGCTTCCATGACACAAGCTGAAGTCAGGCAATCAATAGTATATACAGTGGCTAAGGAACCTAAAAAGGAGGACTTCAACTTTGACAGAACCCCTCACTTCTTTGAGCAATTATTTGCACATATATGCAACAATAGCATTTACTGGTTAGTAATTAGAACAATTTTGAAAGATATCTTCAATGTGTTTCAATAAGATTCCAGTATCTTAAAATATCATTTTCACTACTTCCCAAAAAGTAAGGCTAATGTTCCATTATTTTAATATTCCATATAACTTAAAACATTCAAACCAACAGTGTACACTATTTTGTCAGATTCTGTCACATTCTGAGGGATTTTTGAAGTGAACAAAAATTAAAACACAGATAATCCATTCATATACATAAAAACATACATGTAACATATAATTAATGTTAATATTCTCTCTCAAAAACTCTCAGGAAAGAAAAAATTACAATTGCTACTTGTCAAGCAGATAAAAAAAATCCTGAACACTGGTTACAAAATTAAATTATACACACTCCTTTAAAGTGCCCCTCCAGTGTTGCTCAGTGGTTGAGCACTGACCCATGCACAAAGAGATTGCTGGTTCAATTCTGGTCAGGACACATACCCAGGTTGCGGGCTCCATCCCTAGTAGGGGGCGTGCAGGAGGCAGCCGATCAATGTTTCTCATCGATGTTTCTATCTCCCTCTCCCTTCCTCTCCCTCCATAAATAATTAAAAATATATTTAAAAACAACAACAACAAAAACTAGTGCACAGTCTATTTCTAGGATAGGTAAGAGACTAGTATCTCGTTGTACCTGTGAAGGCAAACTGGGTGAAGTAGGGAACAGGGCAAAGGGAGACTTTTATACCCTTTTTTATCTTTCCAATTTCATACAACATTCATGTATCATCCATTTAAAAATAAATAATATATACATATATTTTAATCCTCACCCAAGGATATGTTTTTATTATTATTATTGATTCTAAAGAGAGAGAAAGGAGATGAGAGAGAGAGAGAGAGAGAAACATCTATCAGTTGCCTCCTGTACATACCCCGCCTGGGGATCAAACCTGCAACCTTTGGTATACAGGACGATGCTCCAACCAACTGAACCACCCAGCAAGGGCTAAATAATATTTTTAATGAGAGTAATGTAATCTGACCTCAAATCCTTTTTGTGGACAAAGCAGAGAATAAAATTAAGAAATAAGAAATTAAGAAAGCATTTATTAGACTTTTGATTCAAGCAGTAAGGCAGACTGGACTCTTATATACATGTGCCCAAATACACTCACTAACATGCTAAATCAACATGAAAAATTAGTATAGCTGAATTTAAAAAGGGGGAGCCCTGGCCAGGTGGCTTGGTTGGAGTGCTGTCCCATACACCAAAAGGTTGCACGTTCATCCCTGGTTGAGGCACATACAGGAAGCAACCAATCCACGTTTCTGTTTCTCTGTATCTCTCTTTCTCCCTCCCTCCCTCCTTTCCTCTGTAAAATCAATAAACATGTTCTCCAGTGAGGATTAAAAAAGAGGGGGAGGGGAAGATTTCTAGGTGCCAGAAAAGAAGAAACTCAAAGACCTAAAGTCCCAGCTGACACCAACATAGTCTCAGGGGACACTGGCCTACAGAGATACTAGTAGAAGACCTAATTTTGAGTCTATTTTCAGGGAAAGCTGGAAGTAAAACCCCTATTTTGAGCCAAGATCCTCAAAAGGTCTGTTCAATACGTGAAAAGGAAGCTGGAGAAGCTCCACCCATATGCCCTGAGAAACAGCAAGGCAGCTTGCCATCTTCCCTGCTCCCAGTGTGGGCAGAGAGGCTCCTATGAAAATCAAAACTCCAGATTTGCACCATGCGGAGGAACAGAATACAAATCGACACTACCTGTATAGTTCCACAATCCATCCCAAACATTAGCATTTTTCAGGACATGTGTTAAAATGAGCAGGTGGTCCTAGCCAATCTCACTCAGTGGTTAGAGTGTCGGCCCTCCAAATGAAGGGTCTCGGGTTCAATTCTGGTCAAGGGCATGTACCCAGCCGGGGCATGGAGGCAACTAATCGATGTTTCTCTCTCTGTCTCTCCCTCACCCTTCGTTCTCTCTAAAAATCAATGGAAAAAATATCCTTGGGTAAGGATTAACAAAACAAATTTAAAAAAGAACAAGTGAATGGAGGAAGCTGAGTAAAGGTTATAGAGGAGGATGTCTCTGTACTATTTTTTGTAACTTCCTATGAGTCTACAATTATTTTAAAATAAAGTTTTTAAAAAACTTTACAGAGGGTATACAAGAGTTGGTTAATTAATTCTCTAAATTTAGCTGTATCTTTTAAATATTTCTTAATTTTAATGAAATACTTAAACCTGTAATTCAGTAAACATAATATACAGAATTAGTCTGCAATCTTTTACTCCTAGCACACTACTAAAACTCCCATTAACAATAATCAGTGTATCCAACAAATTCAGTGAATTTTTTTCAGACCATTCCTTCTCAACCTTCTGACCCATCTCCAAAATGTTCATGTTTTATCTTTAATACTTCTCTTCTTAAATTCCTAAATTATCACATCTATCCCCATAGTGTCAAAAAATTCAATCATGATTACTCTTAATCCTTGAAGACAAACTCTTATTCTGAGCTCCAGATCCAATTACTTACCAAAGACATCTTACTGGATGTCTCAAACATCAAACTTATTATTATTCCTTCTTAAGACAGCTTCTTCTCAAATGGCCACCAGCATCTTTTAAAATCCCCCAAAAGAGATTATCTGGGAGTCATACTGATTCTTCCCTCTCCATTACCATACATGTATCTTATTGATTCTCCACCTTTATTCTCCTCATTCTCATTTTGATTTTTAATCACTTAGTTTGAGAGTCTAGGGCCCATGGCACTTCCATCTATATTTCTTTAGCAGATGCAATTTGATCCCCCACCTGGAATCTTGCCTCCCCTTCCTTGCCAGATAATATTTCCCTGATTTTATTAATATTAATTAACCATTTAAAAACCTTCTGCATAACATTCAACCTCTCCTGACTCACTAGCACCATGTCCTCCCACTCTTCTATACAATACCCTTCACATTAGCCATATGAAGCTATTTGCAATATCATGATTTCTCCAGCCTCTATGGCCCTGGTAATAATGCTCTGGACTGGACTGAATGCCCCCAAGCCCTGCCCCCTCTCCACCTATACAGTGAACAACTCCCTCTCAAAAATCTTCAGCTCTAATAAGCTTTTCCAGGCATCCCCACATCCCATAGTAAAACTATTTTACCTTCTTTTTGTCTGTTATCTTCCAGATACTCTGGCATATACTTCTACCCTTCTAAACAATAATTTATTTCTTTAAGGGTGGGGACCATGTGTTATTCATCTTCATATATCCAATATCTGTAAAAATGCCTTCATTCAATAAGTTTATTAAGTTAATAAATACCATGTTATTTTAAGGCATATTTCAGAGTTTTAATGTAATATATAAGTCCATCACAAAGAACATGAGTGTGTGTGTGAGAAAGAGAGACAGATAGAGAGAGAAACAATAATTTAGGTATAGCCTTTAACAAAGCAGAGTAAAAATGTAGAGATGTGCTAGATAATAAATTTTTGATGTGCTATATAATAAATTATTAAGAAACCCCCCAAAATGTAATCTTTTTCTATATCACTCTACAAATAGACATTTTGGATAAAGCCTTGCTCCAAAGATTAAATCACTTAGCAGTGTAAAACTGAACCCAGGTTTTCCAATTCATGTATTTTGGCATTCAGGGGCTTTCCTGTAACTTGAAAGCTCGATCAATAATCTGGGTCAGTCTGCAGTAATAATGCCTTGGCACTTTTTTCAGTCAGTGATGGGGTGGGGGAGGAAGAGGCACAAACCACACACTCTTTAAACAAAAACATAATAAAAGTCTTTTTAAAAAATGACTGGCTGATAGCTAAAATGCCTGAGTACTCTTTAAGGAAATAGAACACAAAGTACAGACAGAATACTTTTCTTGGTCTTTAAAAAGAAAAAAAGGAAGTGAGAAAACTGAATAGTTACTTGAATTAGCCATATGAAGCTATTTGCAATATCATGATTTCTCCAGCCTCTATGGCCCTGGTAATAATGCTCTGGACTGGACTGAATGCCCCCTGAATGCCAAAATACATGAATTGGAAAACCTGGGTTCAGTTTTACACTGCTAAGTGATTTAATCTTTGGAGCAAGGCTTTATCCAAAATGTCTATTTGTAGAGTGATATAGAAAAAGATTACATTTTGGGGGGTTTCTTAATAATTTATTATATAGCACATCAAAAATTTATTATCTAGCACATCTCTACATTTTTACTCTCCTAACCACCTGAATTGCATTTCACTTTGTCTACGTAGTGAGATCAAAGAACAAATATCATGTTTATTTTTAAGTTCCATATAGCAAATAACATGTCAGGCAGTGTCTACTAATGAATGCCCAACCCGTGAGAGTGCGTAGATGAGTCCTCACCTCTGCAAGAAGTCATCTCCACTGCTGGCCTAACAGAAACTTTCACTCCTTTCCACAACTGGTAAGGTTCTCCTCTCTTTCCTGCTTTGTTCCACTGACCTGAACCAGATGCCCTTAACAGTTCTCTGTCAATTACATCCCAACACTCCTAAGTCCCTTTCACTTTAAAGCCTTGGCCAATCCTGGCCCCACACTTCATAAAGGAACTTACTGCTTGAGTCCTATTCCTGGAGTCTCTTCCCACTAGCACTGATTCCAAGAGTCACCAGAGAAAACCAAGTCTGCTAAGAATAGCCATTTAACTCCCAACCACCGCTTGGGGTCCCCAACAGAAGGTTACACAGGGTCTCTGGCCCAGAGTACTCTCTAGAGCCAAAGCCCATTTGAGAGCCACTGCTGACAATTGACTGATCAGAATCAACTGAGTATTATCTACAGGGAGAAACAGTATACAGACATAA